GATCTAGGTGCTGGGTGACTGATAACCTTAGAAGTCATTACAAGGACTTTGGCTTCTCTGTATCACTTGGGAAGTTACTAGGGAGTTTTGAACAAAGTGCCTTCACCTGATTTTTTTTTTTTTTTTAAGATTTATTTATGGCTGTGCTGGGTCTTCAGTTGCTGCATATGGGCCTTTTCCAGTTGGGTTGAATGTGGGCTTCTCACTGCAGTGGTTTCTCTTATTGCAGAGCATGGGCTCTAGGCATGTGGGCTTTGGTAGTTGTGGCACATGGGTTCAGTGGTTGCAGCTCATGGGCTCCAGAGCACTGGTTCAGTAGTCATGGCACACGGACTTGGCTGTTACCTGGCATGTGGGATCTTTGCAGATCAGGGATTGAACCTGGTGTCTCATGCTTTGACCAGGCAGATTCTTTACCACTGAGCCTCCGGGGAAGCCCCTTGATTTTCATTTTAACAGGTGCCTTTGCTGCTATGTTGTGGAAGGACTGTAGGGAAGCAGTGTGGAAGAAGCAGTCCAGATAGAAGGTTCTTAGTGGTGACTCAGACTCTGTGGTAGCAATCGAACTGGATGAGCCAACAGGATGGACTTGACTTGCAGTGTGAGACAGGGGATGAGGAAGCAGGACTCCACAAGTTCTGGCCTAAACAAATGGAAGAACGACTTGCTTTTTATTGAAACAGGGAAGACTGTGAGAACAGGATTATTTTTAATGGGGGAGATGAAAGGAGGAATTATCAGGATCTTAGTTTTAGACATGCTGAGTTTGAAACGGGCTTTGACACTAAATGAAGATCAGACAGAGGTCCAGGAATGGAGATATAGTTTGGAATCACCAACATATAAATAATACAGAAAATATATAAATATTTATTTGTATAAGTAAATACAGAAAATATATATACAGAGTCCAAGACCTGTAAATAATATAAATAATACAGAAAACCTAGAGATAGTGGAGATTACCAAGAGTGAGAATAGATATTAAAGAGAATATGTTCAAGGACTAGAAGAAAAGGAACCCACACAGAAATAGAAAGTTCAGATGTATGCAGAATAAGGATATAGTATTCTGGATGTAAGAAAAAGGAAACTTTAGAGGATGGTCAGCTATGTAATGCTGCTAATATGTCCAATAAGTGAGCTCTAAGAAGTAACCTCTGATTTAGTCAAGGAGAAGGTCATTGATGACTTTCATAGTATAAAGTAAAAACTCAGTTTTCTACCAATGTAGGGAAAACTCAGTTCTGTCCTACTGTGTGTTTCTTCCCTAAGTCTTCTCTGCTACTCATGTAACACATTTCACTTCTGCTCACCAGATGTGTGGAGGTTTCCCCCACACCACCAAGCAATTTTTAGACACCAGCTTTCAGCTCAATTCTGACCCATCTACTGAGAGACAGCATGATTCCATAGGATAAGGGTTCCATCCCACAAGCCTGCCCTCCCTTCCCATACACACTTCTGACACCAGTCACAAGCCCTGACCAACCAGCTGTTGATTAGAGGTTCTAGTGAGCTTCTTCTTGAACTTCAGATACCATTCCCAAGTCCAAGATGTTACCTATACTTCTGACCAACTAGCTATAAATCAGAGGTTCCTTTGACCCCCTTCTCAGGTTTAATTAATCTGCTAGAACAGCTCACAGAATTCAGGGAAACACTTGCCTATATTTACCTGTTTTTTAAGGGATATGATAGAGGATATAGGTGAACATGTAGATGGAGGAGACATATAGGACAAGGTATGTGGGAAGAGGCATGGAGCTTGCAATGACCTGTCCAGGTATGGCACTCTCCCAGCAGCTCCACATGTGTATCAACCTGGAAGCCCTTTGAACTCCATACTTCTGTGATTTCATGGCAGCCTCAGCACACAGGCATGATCAGTCATTAACTCCATTTTCAGCCCTTCTCCCTTCTCAAGATAGTGAGGGCAGGGCTGAAAATTTCAGGCTTCTAACTGTGACTTCCCCATGACAAGCCCTCATTCAGGAGGCCGCCAGAGTTGCCTCATTACAACAAAAGATACTCTTATCACGCAGGAAACCACAAAGGTTTCAGGAGCTTTGTGTCAGGAACCAGGATCCAAGACCAATATTAGAAGAAGAGATGATTCTAGTGTTCTTGTCACGTAGGAAAGTTCAAGGGTTTTAGGAGCTCTCTGCCAGCAACAGGGACAGAGACCTTTATGTATTTCTATTATCTCACAGACAGGAATAGTTTTAATGGATCAAAGATTGAGAGAAGTCTGATTGGAGGGGTTCAAGTGGCAGATGAGAAATGGGAGAAAAAAATTATGAATAACTCTTTTAAGCAGGTTTGTTGTAAAGGGCAAGAGCAGATGACATGGCAATGGGCCAGGAGGCACTGGCCAGCCTGCTGACAGTCACATGCTGTGCGTGTGAGCGTCAGCTGTGTATAGAGTCAAGGACCACAGATGACCTTGCCTTTGGTAAACATATAGATTTTTGAAATGTTTGTCATTGATGTATTGTGCTAAAAAGAGAAAGATTAATCAAGCCAGTCTCAATGTACAAATATTCTTCCCTTTTTCACTTCTGACTTTACTCCAGTAGTTTCCTCTAGATTTTTCTTTGGAAGCTAGTTTTTATGATTCATGTACATTTTAATTAGTTGTTTATATGCCTGCCTCCCATTCTAGCCTGACTTTCTTGAGAAGGACCATGTTTTATTTTTCTTTACATATCCATTTCTGGCACATGGCAGATACTCTGTAAATGCTTTGTGACTGTTAAGCTCCATGTTGGCATGTGATGTGTTTGAATGGAAAGGTCAGTGTCTTCCTAAAGCCTGCTGTTCATTTTTGAATGGAGATTCCATTTGGTCGTTTTGTTTTCTGTAGAGTTCCTATGGAGCAGGCAGGGTGAGGACGGGTTCTCTGCAGCTCAGCAGCACATCTGCTGGGAATTCATCTTTGAAAAGGACAAAGCGAAAAGCACCTTCCCCGCCCTCGAAAACAGTCCTGCTGCAAAGTGATGAGAACAGTCATGTGACTGGTAATGTTAATTTTTCCATTAACATTACATTTGTGCTGTGTTTTCTATGTGCATTACATTTGTGCTATGTTATGAATCATGCCTTTTTATTAAATAATAATAGTACTTAAACTTAACTTTTAATTGATTTTAACAGTAATACTTAGATAGTCCCTGATTATTTTCACCACCTTTGAAAAATCTGCAACCTAACAAAATGTAAAACTGTACAGCACCATGATCCTAAAATGAGCATATTATAATTTATGAGTCTATTAAGAAAGATACTGTCTTTCCAGGATTGACTACATGTAGGATTGGGAATCTTACCAGATTTAGCTATATCAGAGCTAGACAAGAAAAGTGGTTTCTAATGAGGTTAGGGCTATCTCTTTCTGAATTATATAAATGTCACTAAGTTAAGCTAGTAAGGAATTGTTTCACTGGGGAATGTGATTTTCCTGCTTATAAGTTGTCTCTTCTGTCCTCTAGCCATGCAGTCAGTACCTGCAGTTCTTACCAACAGTGGTGTAGAAGTGAGCTCTTCTGAGGGCCTGTCCAGCCCAGGTATGACACCTCCATTCCTCATCTTATAACCACTGAGAAAGAGCTTCCAGTAGAGTTGGGGGATGAAGTTAGAAGTTACTTGTAATGCTCTGTACATGAAGGAGATACAGATTCTTTGACTCCATTTCCCACCAGGGAGGGGCTTCCCTGGTAACTCCGTTGGTAAAGAGTCTGCCCGCAATGCACGAGATATGGGTTCAATCTCTGGTCAGGAAGATCCCGTGGAGAAGGAAATGGCAACTCACTCCAGTAATCTTGCATGGAAAATTCCATGGGCAGAGGAGCCTGGTAGCTACAGTTCATGGAGTCACAAAGAGCCGGACACGACCGAGTGGCTAACACCCACATTATATAGTATGCAATGAAAAATATTCCCCTCCTAAGCTCAGAGCATGAAATACAGCAATCAGAATTTTAATTCTGTGATGGTACCCTGAGTACTTTTCCTATAGGTCTCCTGCTTTTCCTTATGCAATGTCAGGTTGCCATTTATTAACCTTCTCCCCCAGAGGAGCAACACATCTTAGTTAAGAATGTACCTTGGTGTGTTCAGAAGAAAACTTATATGGAGGTATAAAGTATCATTCTTTATGCAGCTGTCATAGGTGTGAATTCATAGTGTCCTAATCTAATGGTAAAAATTTACTGTGAAATATTTATTGTTATATGGTTTTATTTTGGATTCTCTCCAAATAAGTAAAATTCCAGTAAAAAAAAAAAAAAATTCAGCCTAATACTGTTTCCTAGTATTTTAAATAATAGCTATTTAGTAGCTATTATAGGTATCATAAAATTTCTTATTCCTTAGACTTAGTTAGATATAAATGAATATGATAAAAAATATAATATTACTATGTTAGTACTTTAACATGGAGATAATTTGATAGGTATAAAAATTGCTTAATATAACTACTTAATTTTTATAGTTCATGTTCACAAATACAGAAAAACTCAGAGGCACCCAAGTGCTCCTGAATCATTAATCCTTAGGTGATACTTAGGAATTTAAGATTTTGACATAAAATTCTTTCCTCTGTGATTAAAAACACTATCATTAGGTAACTAGTAATGATTTTTCTCAAGTCTTACCCAGAGTAATATCAATAACACCATTCTGTTTCACATGGACATTTATTAAATAATATCAACCTATATAAATGAGAGGATTTCTGAAGTATTAGAGAAAAGTGGGTGCTCTTTGAACTCTGCTTCATAACTCTTTCTCCTTCTGTTCCTCCCCCCCCACCCTCATTTATCTCTTCTTATTTAATGCATGGCTAATTGTGAGGCGACAAATATAATTTCTTCCAAAATGCTTCTCGGTCTCTGCTTGCTTAATTCTGTTTTCTAAGTGCCATCACCACAGATTTTACTTCTTCGGCAGAAGCCTCCCTCGGCCCTGGGAATGAACAGTGCGCTGTGTCCCAGCTGCCGGCCGGAGCCCCTGTCTCGGGGTGCCCTGGGACGCCTGAGGCTGCTGCCACATCTCTGCCCTGTAAGTTACCTGGCCTTTCCTCAGTCTCTAAAAATGAAAGAGAAAACAACTCATGTAACAACCACAATAGTGTCTGATACAGTGAGCATTTTTGTGAATAAATGAATTTTTTTTTAAGTTCACAAGAATAGATTTAATCTAATACAATTCTGTTTTAGCAAAGGGTAGTGTCTGTCAAACAATTTTGCTCTTTTGACCATTTCCAGGAAAAATATACAAGATGTCCCAAAAGGCTTAGTGAGATTTTAAGCTTTAATAACATAAGATGCTACAAACTAAGTTTATTTGAATTTCTTTTACACAATTGAATTTTGTAAATTTTAAATATTTTAAATTTTATTTTTGCTTCAATTTTGTAACCTTTAGAAGGATTGAAAAAACTTAATATATTCAAATTATAGAAAGCTAAGTAAATGTAAAAGAAATTTCAATAATTACACTTTCAAATGATATTTTTGTAAATTTTTTTTAAAAACACACTTTAGAAGTTGTTGTATCTTCAAACTACGCTAAAGGTTTGGATATCTGTTCTTTGAAAGTGAATTGTCTTCCCTTAGAATGTATGAAGCTGAAATATGATAGTTGCAATATAACATCTGTGAAAAGTATTCATTGTTCACAGCCCCCACTTCATTTTGTTATAGTTGTTGTTGTAGTTCTAAAATTTGGTCATTTGACCATAGTATAAGTCTATTAATACATTCAAAACAAACTTGATTTAATATTTTTTAAAGCTTGGGAAAATCTGCACTAATCAAAGTGTGAAAGTGCTCTTGGATGATTAGAATTTTTTTTAAAAGAATCACAGCCTTTTCTAAGACTTTTAATGACAGGAATGCATTTATTTAAGAAAGCCGACATAATGCTTGGGCTTCCCAGGTAGCAAAATGGTAAAGAATCTGCCTGCCAATGTAGGAGACGCAGGGCTCAATCCCTGGGTCAGGAAGATCCCCTGGAGTAGCAAATGGCAACCCACTCCAGTACTCTTGCCTGGAGAATTCTATGACAGAGAAGCCTGGTGGGCTACAGTTCATGGGCTCACAAAAAATCAGACACAACGGAGCATGCACACATATAATGCTTATAACTACTAAGTATAAAACCCCAGAAAAATAATTTGAAAAGACTTTTGAAACATGTGGCTCATTCTTCATACTTTAGGACCAGTATCTCAGTGAAGACCTCGTGCTTAAAATTGTGTATCTATATAAAATACTTGTGATTGTAAAGAGAGAAATAGGGAGAAAGATCAATAATTTGCTAAATGTTACCTCAGTTAATATAATTTCAAAAGAGCTTAACATATATCAAGGAGCCATCTACAAAACGCACTTGCATCTAAACCATAATGGCCATTAAGTTTTCCTGGATACATTTTTTAAATTATGTAAATATGCTCTTACTACATAGATGTCATATCTATATAGTTACTTTAAAGGCATAATATTGTACATTGGCATCAAAATATTTCATGTCATGATAAAGATTGTATGTATAAGTATATGCATATATTTATGTATATGTTTACTTAAAGTCAAATTATTTATTTTTTCTTAGTAATATACTTTTCAATTTATAACAAAAACATTGTTAAAATCCCCCATATTGTTTAAAAATCACAAGTGGCATACTAGTCTGTCTATATGCTTAAAGATAAATACATTTTAAGTATTTCAAATATTCTTAAAATATATTAAAATTTTTGTTAAATTTTGTAGATGTGCAGATCACTACAATTCAATGCTATACTACTTTTTTTCCTCCCTCAATTGGGGCAAAATTAAACTTTGTTCAGCTGCTATTGTGAGGTGGAGGTACTGAATTATATCAAATAAGCAGAGATCCAAAACCTCATTCGTTGGTCTAAATATACTTTCAGAACTAGTGTGGACACTAACCACTTACGATGGCTCCTTGTCTTTTACCCTGTTGGCCATTTGTTGTTAGAACTAAGAAATAATAATAAAACCATTTATTCAATAAAATACTAACCACAGCTATTGAAAAGAATCATATACACACACACATGTATTGATATGGGACAGCCTTTAAGATACAGTTGAGTGGAGAAAGAAAAGTTGAAAACATCAGATACAGGATGGTTCCATTTATATTAAATAGACCAACAAGAAAAAGAGAGAGAAGGAAATGTATGTATATCTGCTTAAAAGGTATATGCTCATTATACTTTGATAATATAGAGGAAAGAAGACTTAATGGAAGTTGCCTCTGAGAATCAAACTCAATAGGAATTAAAATTAATTTTCATAGCATAATGCTTATTGTATTATTATCTTAAAAATTATATTAAGCATCTAAGTAAGTGGCTTTTAACCTTGGTTACACACTAAAATCACCCAAAGAATCCTAAAAATTCTTGGTCCTGTCCTTCAGAGATTCCACTTTAACAGATGTACAGTAGAGGTGAGCATCAGTATTTTTAAAGGATGCTCAGACAGTTCTCAATCATAGTACTGATAACTACTGAGTCAAACTTTGTAATTACACTTGTAGACTATCTAAATATTTGTGTTCTTTTTGTTTACATTTAATGCTATTGGATCAAGGTAAAAGTCATTTAAATTGAAAGACACATTCTTAAATGAAATATATAACTTGAAGCTTATAAGCTTAAATAACCTTTTTTCTACCACAAAGAAAACCTAGAGCGATAGCATATTATTTTTAGAAATGCAGGTCTGAGATAATCTGATTATACATTAACATAATTATTCACCATTAGACAAGTATTTTACTATTAGCTTTGAATCAGAATTTACAAGAGTCCAACTATTATTTTAAAAATTCCTTCCTTGCCAGAATTGCATAGGATGAATGAGACAAATTAATATTTAGGATTATATCTTCATTTCTTTGTAGCTGGAATAAGCTCTGATTATAGCCTTGAAGAGATAGATGAAAAGGAAGAACTGAGTGAAGTGCCTAAAGATGAGGCTGAAAATACTTCTCTGGAGTCACAAGACATTCCTACTGTATCTACGGATATAATAAATACACTGAAAAATGATCCTGACTCAGCCCCTGGCAGTGCTACTGGAGAGTCCTCACAAAACTCCAAAGAAGAAAAACAAGGAACTAGAAACACAGATGAACAGTAAGTAGTCTGTATGCCAGAAGTGGAAGTGGTGCTTTGTTTAATTGATAGTAGTCTTCTGAAATACAGAAATGATATTTTAAACACAAGTGAAGTCATTTCTTTAGTTTATATTTTATCCCTTTTACCATCATTAAAAAAATGTTATTCATCTATTTACATGTGATTGGTTTTAAATAAAATCAAATCCAATGGTTTTGGTGTCCCTGTGGCAGATAAACCATAACATGTAGTTATTCTGTATGAATATTATTAGCATTTTTGTTTGTGTTGTGTTTGTTTTGCCTGTTACCTATTTGGCCTAAATGAAATATTTAATCTCAATTTTCACCAAATACTCCTAAAGAACTTTTACTGACTGGTTTATAAAGCAATTCTGCATATTAGAATATGATGTTAAGCCACTAATCATTTTTACAGTCAATTTTGTGAAGCAGAGAATGCACTTTCCCCTTGGTTCTAGAAATAGAAAGTTATAGTAAAGTACACTTACATTCTGTTAGAAATACCACACTATGAATAAAGATGAAATCAAGAATGTAAAATAAACCATTTTATCAAAGTTTTACTATAATTTGCATGAGATTGTCTCCAAATGAAACTCCTTTATCATTCAAAAAAAAAAAAGAAAAAACCCAGTGAAGTTAATTCACATTCTGACTTGCCACAAGGTGACCTTGCCAGATGTAAGGGAAATGTCTATGAAAGTAAATTTCATTTAGCTCCTTCATCTTTAAAAGATAATAATTGATAATAACAAAAAGATACTCTCTTGGGGAAACTGTCCATCTTACCAAGTTTCTAAGATCTTGCTTTGTTACAGGGCCACATATGAAAGCTGATGTTTCATTAGCACCATTTCCTCTTAGCTGTATTTTTTCTTTGCTATTAAATTTCCAGTATTTGGCAGAAAAAGATGATTATTCCAGTCTGTCTTTGGAAATTATTGCCTGTTTTACTGTTGTGTGAGTGTGTGTTTGAATATTATCATATATAATATACAATATCATTTTTACAGAAGGCCACACATTATGGTATGTAATTCAAGCGACAAAGAGAGGGTAGTTGACAGTGTAAGAAACCTGAAGTCACTGGACCCAAACCAAGAGAAAGGTGAGTTCCATAAGCACTAATAACTAACAACTTTCATAGCACATACTATGTGCCAAGGACCTTTCTTAAACACTTTATGTTAGCTCATTTAATCTTATATATTAACTCATTTATGGGCATTGTTACTTTAGTCCCACTTTACAGATGATTGATCTGCAAAGATATTACATGACTCACCTGAGGTCCCACAGTAAGTGGTAGACCTCAGATTTGAACTCAGGAAGTATGTGTTCAATGTGTTGATTCCAAAATTTGGTCTCACTACGATGTGTTATGATGTTGTTGTTGTTAAACCTTAGAGGTTATCTAACTTAGTTCTGAGTCTTACCCATGTATACTCTCTGCATACTTAGGATCTACTTCTCCTTTTTCCTTCTTCTGACTCCCTAACTCAAGCCTGTTTTATTTCATAGTCAAGTTGATATACCTTGGGTAAAACTTGTCTGCCTGATATTTCAGGCTCAAGCCATCTAATCATGTAATCAAGTTTACCAGTATTTCCCACTCCTCCCCCCATACCTCCAAATCAAGGTAGTTTATTCTTTTTTATGATGTATGTATTTCACTCAGATCTATCATTAGGCCTATGGTTATTTTATTATTATCTTTGTCTGAAAAATAATCTTTACCCATTCAACTATTATCCAAATCCTGCCACTTCACTTATTCTGTTGCTTGACTGCTTGAAGCCATGTAGTTTTGTGTCTCGACTACTTGGCTAGATTGGACAGTCTTCGATCAGAGGAATTATATCTGATACTCTGTTTGAATTCCTTATGGAACCTAGCAGAATACTGAGATAACAGTTAAAATACATAGTTAGGATTGAATTTCAGAAAAATGATACTATACAAACCAGAAATGCAGTGAATACACAAAGGTATTTTAAGGGAATATGAAGGAAATGGCTTATTCTGAAGTCCAATCTATTATGTTAGTACATAAAACTAGGTTAAGATCCATAGAAAACATAGAGATATATATATGCTGCTGCTGCTAAGTCACATCAGTTGTGTCTGACTCTCTGCGACCCCACAGACGGCAGCCCACCAGGCTCCGGTCCCTGGGATTCTCCAGGCAAGAATACTGGAGTGGGTTGCCATTGCCTTCTCCGGAATATATAGATATGTATATAAATCCAATATGTATTGGATTATCTCAATGTCACAAACAAGATAGACAGATGTATATAGGTATGTCATTTTATATATGTGGTATGTGTTGGTTAATTTGAATATGAATGATTCACTTTCCTTATGGTCACTAACCTGAGATACAAGTGTACAACTTATATACTTGTATATACTTTTCCTCTTTTTTCTTCCTGACACAGCTTTTTAACAACATATATTATGATGGCAATAGCATTTCTATTGAGAAGATGTGATTTAAAAGCTGCTTACTGTTTAAAAATCATAGTAAAATTAAGTCATTTTTGCAAAGATCTGGGTATCATATTAGTATTAGGGTCCCAAGCACATTTCTGCAATATACTTATTTTGATTTGCACTTGATTTACAATGACCATTGTCAACTCTGGGTGGTTTTTAAAATAATTTGTTATCCTTAGAACTAATTTTATTCTGCTTTTCTCCTTTTTTCTTTAAACCTAAACAGTGCACTTATCTAAATGATCGTTTCATCAGGTGGTTGATGTTCGTGTCAGTTTTGAGTAGGGGAAAGTATAGTATAGTACAAAATATACCTTCTCCCTCTACTGGCCATTCTTGAAAAATAGCCTGTCTATTCATTGACATTTTTTGCCTTATCAGCATATATACAGTAGGATGGACAAGCTAATGAATTCAGTAGTGATTCTAGGTTTCCAGGCCTGACAATCACTGAAATTTTTGAAATTTTGGTGAGAAATTCAGTAGATAATGGTCAAGTAATTATAACCCACAGAAAATGTGAAGAAGTTCTAAAACCAATAAATTAGGATTATAGGGAATTTCATTTAAAATATATTTTTATAATGACTTACCTTCTTTTAGAAAGTGTTTCCATTCTGTAACTGGGATATATCTATATTCAGTGGAAAATGAGAAATAAGCAAGAGAAAAGGAAATACATTTAGACTCCTTTTTTCATTTTTCACAGAGGATCCATTTTATATTTTAGACGGTGAACTTTATCTTATAGGTGAAAGTGAGTGATTATAAAACTATAGAGAAATACTTGACATTTTTTCACAATTTGATTTCCAAGGCCCACATTTCACTTGTGTTGTGCAAACTGTCATATCTGAAAGGAGAGGCCACCGAGGATTTTGAAGAAGAGGGCTAGCTGGTTATTTGGAAGAGGTGATTCTTCATGGTGCTTGACTAGAGGAGCACAGTCTACATAAATCACTTGGCTCAGTACAAGACACACGGTGCACATTCATAAGCCTCTGTTTCCTTCCAGATGCCGCATTCCAACTCTGCCATCACGTTGTTGGCTGGCAACTGTTGCTTTGTTAACCTAGACACTGGCAAATGATTTTTGTTTTCAGGAGGTCTGAATTAAAATGAAGAGGAAAGTAGTGTTGGGAGAGGGAAGTTTGTTTTCTCTACCTGGATTCTGACACGAGAAAAATTATCTTTTCTCACAGAGAAAAAAATAAAAACCCACCTGGTTGTTTTCAGTGTAGTTGAAACCACCCATATTGTGACCGAAAACAAAATCCTCTAAAATTATTTAGCAAGGACACCTAATTAGAGAGACAATGAACTTAGGTTGTTTTTCTTTCAGCTCTTAAAGGTAAGGTTTTGTGGTCTGTCGTAATTAAAACTGATAACATTAAAAAGGAAGCAATCCTAACAAATGCTAAGTATGAAATATAAATATACTAGGGATTATAGAAAAGACAGAATCAGAATGGAAAAAACAGAACAAAAACATTTTTTAAAATTTGTCGGTATCTTTTTGTCATTCTTAACAATGACTGAGATATGGTCTTTCCTTAAAATCATAGCTGTCTTCTATGAGTACTTGTTTTGGGCAATACAGTGTCCTAATAAGCATGTTACATAAGTGATATATAATACATAGTTTTGTTTTTGACATCTGAGGCTCAAATGGGGTGAGTAACATGATGTGGCCCATACAGATTGTAATTAGTCAAGCTGGATTCCTGACTCAGGTCTCTATGATCCCAAAGTCCATGCCACTTTCTCTGTATGCCATTACCTGTATAATTACTGTATAATTGGTGAGCTGAATATTTATCTGTAGAATTCAAATCAACCTGTTCACTTTGGGGGAGGGTGGGTACTGAAAACTTGCGCTTTTCTATTTTTTTCATATACTTTATATTTTTTCTCTCAGTAGATCAACATGAAATAATTATCATTCCAACAAACACAGAAAATAATATGAAAAATGGAGTGAGAACAGAAATCAATGTAGCAGATGTTGCCCAAAATAACAATGTGGACACAGAAGTTGACAGACAATCAAATTATCAGGCATATAAAACTGATACTGCTGAACGTTACAAAGAAAATCATCTTGCTGTTTCATCAGCACCAGATCAAAACCTGATTCAACCCACTGCAGAAAAGACAAAAATGCAAGATGCAGCAATTCAGACAATCCCTTCCTGTGACAGTTTTGATGGGGATCAGCAAGATCAGAATTTGTCTGACGTCAAAGTTGATGAAAGTGTGCAAACTTCAAGTAACAACAAATCAACTCAACGCTCATCTTTAAGCCCACAAGATTCTATAGATATCTCAGGAGAATTCAGGAGTCAGGGCCCCCTTGTACATACAGAAGAGCAACTCACCATAAAAGATCCAACTTGTGCACATGGTAATGACAATCTTTTGCCTCCTATAGACGGAACTGATAAAAATTCGACAGCTTCTTATGTAAAGAATTATCCATTTTACAGACAAGATTATAATCCCAAACCAAAACCTTCAAATGAAATTACAAGAGAGTACATACCCAAAATTGGGATGACTACTTATAAAATAGTGCCTCCCCGATCCCTAGAAATATCAAAAGAGTGGGAATCGGAAACCATAGGGTATAAAAATGATCAGGAGATATACACTTTAGGGAAAAGGGACACTTATGAGAATGTGAAAGAAACTACAATCCAAACAGAAGATCTCGTCATTTCTGAAAGCCCAAAGGAGTCACAAGCAGACCTGAAATCAAAGCCTACCCTGAGAACAGAGCATCAGATGCAAAGTGAAGAGAGCTTTACCCGCAGCAGAGTGGTGAATCCTCTGAAACCTCCCAGAATGATGAGTGACACTGGCACAGCTCCTTTTGCGCCAAAATTGGAAGATATAAACAATATTTTGGAATCAAAATTTAAATCGCGAGTTTCAAATCCCCACTCCAAACCAAGTCCTTTTTTCTTGCAGATGCAAAAAAGAGTTTCAGATCACTATGTGTCATCTGCAGCCGCCAAGAGTGTTCATGCTGCCTCTAATCCTACTCCAAAGGAATTAATAAAGAAAGAGGTGGAAAGAGATACAATACCTCCTCCAGAGCCAGCTCTTTCTCCCTTAAGTAAAACTATTCAATCTTTTCCACAGCCACACATTCAAAACACTGATGATGACAGCAACCAGAAGCCTACTGAAACCTCTCCTCCTCCTGTGGCCTCCAAACCTGTTCCTCTTCCCAAGAGTCAGTTAGCAACACTAAATCTGAAAACTCTGAAAACTTTTGGTGCCCCACGACCATACTCCAGCTCTGCGCCTTCACCGTTTGCCCTCGCTGTGGTGAAACGGTCACAGTCTTTCAGCAAAAGCCCTACAGAGTCATGCAGTGAGGAGGTCCAGGGTGCCTCCGCCAGAACTCCAACTGATGCAGAGAAAGGGAAGATCCCTTCTGTAAATACATTTGGGAACATGCCACAACTAGGTGTGAGTGATAAGGTAAATGTGACCTTTTCTGAAATAGGGGATTCTTATACAACATGACTTAAATGGGCTTAACAACCATGTGTGTTACTTAATTCATAATCTACAATGAAGATGCTGTAGGGAGGAAAAATGAGTAGTAATACATAGAATCTGATTATTTACTCTCAGTCATTATAATTCATATAATTTAATCAGCTATTACTATAAGGTCATTATAGAATCACCTCATTAGCAAATATTTAAAGTTTCCTTGCTCATACATTTGTATAGTGTACTATAGTTCTGAATAGTTTTCTGTATTTTGCTTTTCTCAAGTTGAAAACTTTCCTGGATGTTCTCATTTATTTTATTTTCTTCAGTTCTCCATAATAGCAAAGTAAATTGTTTTAATTATAGAAAAGCATAAGCAGCATCAAAGACTAGATAAAATAAGCAAACATATCTCAGCTCTGCACTTTCTATCATATACACTCAACCTGAGCTTACCAAATATTGTTATATATAATTTAAATTAAAATCAGTTTAAATATGTGATTTTCTAAATTTCCCATTTTGTTAATTTAGTGTCAACTTTCCAGTTATATGTATGTTGACCAAAATATCACTTAACCACCATCTAACCTTAGTGATGTACAAAAAGGAGAATTTGTTGATTTCATGTTGGATCAACTAAACGATATAATTTGCTAGATTCAAGTAGTAGAGTCAGAGGATGCAATTCACAGTATGAATTATGATAATCCCCATGCAATTTAAAAAAAATACATTGTGTACTTTTTCTGATAGTGTTTAAAGAATACTTTCATATTTGTATGACAGTTCCAGAAGTATTTTTATGCTATTTTTTCAAACACTCCCAGAGTAACAGAACATTAACCATGTTGCCAAGTAAAGATTTTTCCATAATTTAAAGCAGTATTTACCTTGAAAAATATTTCTTTATATTTTGCATTTATGTTTATTACTTTGATATCATATCAGGAAGAGATATATGATCTAGAGATTAATTCTTTACTTGGGAGCAAAGCCTGTGTTTTTTTTCTTGGAATGGAATACCATTTCTAAACAACAGAAGCTTGATTTAGCTAATACAGTTTCCGAGCCATTGCCTGAGTTCTGTTTAACTCATCTTTTATAAAGATATTTATTTGGCAGTTTGAAAAAGACATTTTTAAGATTGTTTGAATACAGTTGCCAGTGAAATCAGTTACTAAATATTCCTTTCTAAGAAGTTTAATTAAAATTTTGATTCTTAAATTTCTAATATTTATTTTCAGTCTCATGGGAAAAATAAAACATGGGCATCACTTTGTCCCAGTGACTTCCAGAAAGACAAAATAAGCTGTTACATAGTTATTAATACTCCTTTATTAGATGTGTTATGTTCAACCAGTATGAAATTGCCAATATATGTCCATTTGTACCATCAAAAATAACTTCATAATACTAATATATTGGAACTATGAAAATGGGTTTGTTTTTGTTTTTTTAAGTCTGTGGATTTTTATTATTACTTTGTCTCTTCTAACCGACTCTATTGGAGAAATCAGCATTATTTCATTTACTCAAGGACAGTAAAATTACCACTGCATTTGTGAAACAAAGAGACATATCATTTTTCTTCCTTAGCCTCCTGAGTTCAAAATGAGGAAAAGTAAGGCCCTTATCTTCCAGCTGAGCCTGACATCAGAGATAACTCAGTGGATGAGGAAATAGTTTAAAACACCAGTGTAGAAACGGGGGTTCTTAAAGAGCTATTGATGATGAAAGTGTTTTGAACATTGGCCCATTCTTCACCTAGTATTCATATAACTTTCACATTTATTTTTATAGGAAAATAACTCTGCACATAATGAACAGAATCCTCAAATACCATCTCCAACTGACTGCCCGTCATTCACTCTTAAGAGACAAAGTTCTTCGACATTCCAAAGCTCTGACCCAGAACAGATCCGACAGAGTTTGCTGACTGCAATTCGTTCTGGAGAGGCTGCTGCCAAATTGAAAAGGGTAAGTTTTCTTTATCAGATGGGTGACACTGGGTTTATTTTCAACACTGTCAAACTAATACTTAGGGGAAATTGTTTTCTGGCTTTTGAATCTGAATAGGGAAGATGCCAGAAGTTCCTCCTTTATGTCAAGGGTCATTTTTGAAGTATAAGCTGAGAGAGCCCAGAGTGTTACACATCCTTAAAACTATGTCAGGTCTATTTTCCAAAACATGGGCCAGGTGCAGAAAGCAAGTTTTGCTCATTATTATATAACTATATATAGAAAGTGCCCTGGACTCTTATTTTAAGAAACTGTGTTAGCACAGCAAGAAAGAGTCTTTTGGAAAGAAAGTCCCTCCTACTCCAGAAAAGCTGCGCTATTGTAAGAGCCTGCAAGTTTTCAGCCCTGGCTCCTATAGTAATCAGTTACTACCATACTGATTGGCTGGTTAAGGGGGAGGAGTTTTACAGGCTAAACTAAAAAAAATGTAGGGGAAGTCTAGGGAATTTAGATGAGACCTAATGCAGAAATTCAAGTTTTAATAATGCACTGCCAGAGTCTAGCTTCTACTGACATGTGAGAGGGCAAGGTGATGCACTCTGTTCTCGGGTAAACACCAGAAAGCATCACAGGTTGTTATTACAGATGAGTTTCCTCTTTGTCGCCCTCATCCTCTGAAACAGGATGTAGCCTGGCATCATGACTTGGACTTCTCAGAGGCTGCAGTCTCCCTAAATGTCTTTCTTGTTCTTCCCTTAGTCATCTTGGTTGCAAGTTCCTCAACACCAAGACAAGAAAAGTACTCATTATTTCACTGACTCCCTAGGCATTTCATTTTGTGAATTGCTTTTCTAATCATTTTAGAAGCTATTTAGAGAAGAGTAAGAGACTTGTTGAGCAAATCACTGAACTCAACAAAAATGAAATTTGCGAAGGAACAGGAATGCGGCAGATAGAAAAGGCGGGAGGCATTCATGAGTGTCAGTCAGCTTCCTAGAGGGTTTCAGGGGAGCCCTGGGTGGCTGCCATTTGCCCAGAGGACTTAGCATTCCCATCTGGGCACACGGCGAGAAGGCAAAATATCATGTGCTGTCAGGAGTGGAGGAGACATAAAGGAATAATTCAGAGGGGTAGGTCTGAATTTCATCGATTATTTGTAGACTTTGAGTTTAGGTCCCAGGCAGCAAACAACAGCAGCAAAAAAGGAATATTGAAATTGGTATTTTGCAGGTCATGACATTTATACTTTTGGGGGGAAATATGTTCCTGTAAATAAATTATACATTCTCATTCATAAAAATAATTCTATTTCTAACCCTGTTTCGACTCTTATAAATTAAGGATAGAGTTTCAAAGTTCTCAATTCAGTAAATTTGATAAGCATTTTTTAAAAACAGATAAATACCAAACACTGTACTAGATACTAAGGATACAAAACTGAGTCAAATGAAGCCTCTGCCTTCTGGGTGTTCAGAGCCAGGGACTGAGAACAGCGGTTCCTCAGGCTCACGGCAGAACAGAAAATAACTGCAGTGTCTTTAAGTCAGTGGATGTGTTATTAATAATCAGTTTCAATGAACTAATTGCAGAAAAATAGTGCATTAAGTTGGAAATGCCTTTTAGGCCAACAAAATCATACAGGCAGGCAGCTGTATACTTGGTGTGTTATGGGCCCTGATTTGGCAGTCTCTTCACAGATAAAGCTCTCATTGCTTCCAGAACGAGCTGGATGTGAATCAACACAGAAAGCAGGCCCTAAATGATGATCCTATAATTGTATCCTATTTATTACTCATTACTTTAGGTTCTATTGAATCTAAATTTTATCTCTTTCAGTAGGAGGTTTTTTGATAGCTCTGACTCTACAGTGCCAGCTCCTAAATTCTGTTTAATGAAAATCCCTTACTTAATCCTTTTTCTTCCTCTAAAGACAGACACGGGGTCTAGTGGAGTTTATGGTATCTATCTGCCATGATTAGCATCTTCACTTCTAGTTATATATGCTAAAAATGTGTTTTCTATGTGCCAAGACTCAAGAATATTGTTTGTAATAGCTCCAAATACATATAACCTTAATATAAAAAATGGTAGAATAAATAGTGGTATATTTAAAGCATGGACTATCAAATGGCAATAAATTGGATAAGATATACTAAAGATAACAATGTAGATAGAGACATAAATAAAAGATATGTGTAAAGTTGACGGGCATGCAAAACTAAATTATATAGTGATACATGCATAGGTGGCAATTATTCCTAAAGGTTGGGAAGTAATTACAAAAGTCACAATAGGGTTAATTCCAGAGGGGAAGAAAAAGGGTTGTTAGAGGTTTATTGGAACAAGACTGGGACACAATTTAAGAGGGAACCAAAAAAATTAGTAATGAGGATAAATACTGTATTTTCTTTTTTTCAAGCGAAATATATCTTAATGCAATATTTTTAAATATAAAAATTAATGCAAAAATCCATGATAAAGTCAAAAATTTAAATAAAAACAAGATCAGGAGGGAGCTGGAGGTATTCTTTCTCTTGACCTGGGTGGTGGGCTACATATATGTCTGTTTTCATTGCGCTGTTCAATGAACATCTCTGTACACGTATTATATTTCAAAAAACTGCAGAAGGTGGTAGAGATAGACACAAGGCTCTAATTTCTTACACTTTTTTCCTTTCTTACGCTAATTTCTTTCTTATGCTTAAGTCCCATATTTCTGTGCTGTTCTGAACATTTCTCTTGGTTTGTTTTAAATTCTAACATTTCTTTTATAGAACAACAGTTATGGTGCCAAACAAAATCCCCAGTGATTTTGACAGTGGGTTTAGACTGTTCATCAGAAAGCTGGCTCTGTATGTGCCTGTATTTTGGCACCAAATGTTCACTTTAATTCCAGGTACCAACCTGCCTTGTGGCTCTTGTTCATACTTGAGCAATTAACCTTCATTATATAGTTGGTTCACATTAGAACAATTATCCAGTTGATAGCTCTAGTGTAAATGTAGTCATGAATTTTCATGTTTCTGAAGGCTTTTTTTTTCCTGTACCTTACCCCCATCTCAACCTGCATATAATCATGGTGATTTGTCTTGTCTTCATATAAAGCATTACTACATCCAGCACAGTATTTTATAAAATGTGTTTGATGTTAAGACATATATATGTGTTTTTGTGCTCAGTTGCTCAGTCGTGTTGGATTCTTTGTGACCCTATGAACTGTAGCCTGCCAGACTCCTCTGTCCATGGGACTTCCCAGGCAAGAATACAAGAATGGGTTGCCATTTCCTACTCCCAGAAGCTTTACAGTGCAGCCAAAAAAAAAAAAAAAAAAAAAAACCCAGTTATTTCTGAACAAATAAATATTGGTAACAATAATATAAGAAAATAACAGTCCCCACTGCAGATGGTGAATGCAGCCATGAAANACCAGCCCAGGTTGGGTGCATGAGACAAGTGCTCGGGCCTGGTGCACTGGGAAGACCCAGAGGGATCGGGTGGAGAGGGAGGTGGGAGGGGGGACCGGGATGGGGAATACATGTAAATCCATGGCTAATTCATTTCAATGTATGACAAAAACCACTGCAATGATGTAAAGTAATTAGCCTCCAACTAATAAAAATAAATGGAGAAAAAAAAAAAGAACCATAGCTTATTTACTCCTTGTTGGTAGACATTTAACTGGATTCTAGGTTTTGACCCTATAAATGATGTTACAATGAGCATCTTTACTTGTAGATATTTAAAACCATCTGTATCTTTTTTAAATGCTTAAACCAAAGTTTCTTTTACTTTACAAAGAATGTGAGAACTGCAGTTTGGGCAAGAATTACAAAAATAACCCCTCACACTCAGATTTTTCAGCCCAAGACCGAATAGCAAAAAGCCATTACCTGTCTGTTGGCTGTACCTGGAAAGTAATCCCACATGAGTCCTGAAAAGGATGCAGACAAGTGTTCTTCCTCTGGTGGCCACTTTTTTCCTTAGCTGTTCTGTTTCAGGTGGATGGTGGTCAACCATTCTACTCCGTCCTGGGTTCCTGAGGTAGTCAAGAAAATTGATTAGTTTGGATTACTTATCTTTGTTTAGTAAAAGGCAAGAAATGAAGCACCAGGAAACCAAAGCCAGCTAAATTTGCCAATTTTATTTTCCTTGCCACTCATTTACTCTGTTGCTAGGCAGAATCTGGCCTTTTGTACTTCAGTTCTTTGCTTGGGAGAAGAGGATAATGTTTGGTAAGGAAGCTAAGCTAGTCAAATTATAATCAAGAGATAAATCATTTTTCTTAAAATATTGTTATATTTTACATGGAATATTTTAAAATACTGTACCTGCTTACTATGTAGAATCCAGATAATTTTCTTCTACATGCTTATAAATAATGTTGGAATTTCAAGCTATTTAGGAAATTTTGTTTTAGTGTTTTTTGTTTACTTACAGCTTGTAAATAGGAAACTCTGCCATAGAATTTTGGAACTTAGGAATGTATTTGCAGTTTTGGCAGAACAGTCACAGGTTTGACATTTTTAGCCCTTCAAATGAAGGCATTTTTAAAAACCAAAGCTATTTTTTCTTATAAATAAGGGGTACCTGGGAAAGAGTAACTTCAAGTTAATATCATCAATATGAAAATTACAGAATTCATTGCTCTGTGGGATTCACTATGTTTTTCTACATTCTCCAAGGTACTTTGAGGGAACCAGAATTAATCTAGCTAAAAATGCGCTTTAACAGCTTGGCCTGCAGTCTGTTTATGCTCTTGTCCTTTGAGTTGATTTGGTAATTTTGTAAAGACTAAGATGTGTTAATGGATTATTTAACTTGTTTGTTGTGGAAATAACTAATTTTTAATTTCATGGTAGAATGAACATTTATTCTGGATTATTTGAAATTTATTCAATAACATTAAATGTTAGTATTTACAATTAAGCAGAAATTAAAATGTTGGTAATTGATGAAAATTCAAAATTAGGCAGCTGTCCAGTTTTACATTGATGGCTGCAAAGTGTGTTTCTTTCTCTTAGGTTACAGTTCAACCAAATACAATATATGTGAATGGAAAATCAAGACTCAGCCGTTCTATGTCCCTTGATGCCCCGGGTAACTGTTAAATGTTGCCCTGCCATGCCGCACTTCACCGCCTCTACTGCACAGAACAACTTCATACTGATGGAGAATGTTAGCAAATGTATATTCAGATATACACTAATATATTATCTATTAAAGCATAAGAATTTGTGCTGTGACTTTTAATGCCAAAAGAAGAATTACCAGAATTTATAATTTATAATAATAAGTTTGGCCTTTTTTGCCTTAAGAACTGAATATGCTGCTTTAGAACTTTAAGACAAGGTGTTGATAACTCATTTTTTCAAATGAGAAATAGTCACTTTTTGTTGATTTCACTTATTTTTCACTTATTAATACATTATCTACAATGGTGACTTAGACAAAAGGATAAATTAGGATTCATAGACTTATTTATATGACACCTAAATAGCTAGGCAAACATAGATCTGACATTTGCTGCCTCAATGTTACAGTTTAATTGGAAATGTTTTTAAGTTATATTAAAGCCTGTTTGTGCTGAAAGTTTGATCTAGAAAACTAATGATATCAATAAGTATATTCAGTTTAACAGTTAATTTCAATGATGAATCACTTAGTGTGCAGGTCTTATCTTGCACATTCTTTATGTAATTACAAAATCAGTGTCAAGTTTATGGAAAAGCTCATAGTATTTTAATATTTTATTAACATGGACACTTATGTTTTTTCATCTTTAGAACATAAATTGCTCAAGGAGAATTTTAAATATTTTCTGTATATAATTATAACATTATTGTCACACAGATTTTACACATTTTATGTACCAGAAGCCTTAAAAATCTTCCTGTGAAAATGTTGATATATTGTGACAGTTATTTCAAATTTGATATGTAGAGAAGAATAGGGGTTAGTTTATGTCCATACTGGAAAACTTTAAAGATTACTTGGAGGTTTCAGAAATCCTGGTTTTAATTAAAGTGATAAAGTCATTACGTAGTTCAGAAGCTAATATTCTAAATAATATATATTTACATTAAAGCTAAAATTGTTAAGCAAAACAATGCCTAACCTATTGGCTTATCATGATCCTGGGGTCTAGAGCTTGTTGATGTTCTGGTTCCTGCCTGGAGAGTTGAATTGCTTGCTTATTCTAAATGCCTTGTCAAACAAACTGATGTTATGTTAGTTACTGGGATATCTGCCTCTTTGGAAAATATGTTGATTTTTCCCCTGTTTAATAAAAGCAAGTTACATATCTGGGATGTTTTTTTAAATGTAGTGTGTGTCAATCAGATATTTCTACACTTCACCTGATTTCATCTCCATCAGCCAGTAAACATTATACTGAGACCGTACATTTATCAGGGCTCTCTAGTATACATAAGCCCACATGTTCAAACTCCAAAAGCCACTACCACCACCATAACTAGTGTATATAAGCCCACACATTCTAACTTCAAAATGCATAACATGCTTGGCAGAGTTTCTGACACAGGGAAAGTACACATTAAGTTAAATACTGCTGCTATTACCTTGAATCAGACTTGAAGAGACCTACATATATGGAGACCTGTTACATCATTATAAACCAATAGGGAAAGGAGTGACTTTTTTGAAAAATTGTGTTTGATTATCCTCTTGGAAAACAATAAATTTGGATTCGTACCTCAAACTATGAACAGATATATTTGAGTTAAAGTATTGAGATTAAGATTTTAAAACTTAAATGAATATATTCAACATTTTTCAGACCTCAGAATAGGAAAATTATTTAAATAAGACAAAGGCACAGTCATAAAAGAGATATATTTATAAATATTAAAATGTATGTGTACATTAAGTACTATAAAAGTGAAAAAATAACCTACAAAGTATTTATTGTATATAAGGATTAATTTATAAAAATGTAAAAATCCCTAAGATTCATGAAACTACTACCCAATAGAAATATGCACATGCTGAAAACAAAGGTATTTCTTACAAGAGGAAATCTGAAAGGCTAATAAACATGGAAAAAATACTCTGCACTAATAATCAAGGAAACACAAGTTACAAACCCAAGGAAGTGTACCACATCACACCCAAAATATAAGTTTCAAAATAGCAAGTATTGTCAAGGACAATGAAGTAATAAAGACTTTTTTAAACTGTTGGTGGCAAAGTAAACTGGCACAACCATCAAATGTGCAATATTTAATAAAATTAAAGATCTCTTACCATATTACCTTAAGGAAGTACTTATGTGTGTGCTTGTATGCATGCCAAGTTGCTCAGTCATGTCCAATTCTTTGCAACCCTATGGACTGTAGCCCACCAGGCTCCGCTGTCCATGGGATTCTCCAGGCAAGAATATTGGAGTAGGTTGCCATACCCTCCTCCAGGGGATCTTCCCAACCCAGGGATCGAACCTGCATCTCTTATGTCTCCTGCATTGGCACACAGGCTCTTTAACACTAGCTCCACCTAAGAAGTGCTATGTGTGTGCTTGAGACATAAAAATGTTCATGGCAGCCTTAGACATAAGTAGCAGAAATGAATTCTAACTGGCACTCAACACTGATAGTATATTCATAAAATAGATTTCTATACAACAGTCAAAATGAATAGTTGTTATGCATATCAACATGGATACATCTCAAAAATAATGAGGAAGAAAAGTTGTGGAACAATGCTTGTTTTATGATGCCAGTTATATAAAATAAAAAAAATGCAAAGTGATACTATGTATTATGGCTATAAATACAAAAAAAAATAGAATACACGTTTGCTAGTGGGAATCAAGCAATGAAGACTGGATTGGGGAAATTTATAGGAAGAATCAATTGCATTTGTAGTCATTTCTCTTACAAACTGGTTTGAAAACAAGTTTTACTCCAGATTTTAGCATACTTGAAATAGTTTGTAATTAGGATATTTTTTAAAGATCACACAGGACTTAGGGGGATATATATGAAACATGAATACACATATATTCTGAAAAAGTTCCCTTATCCACACTATTTTTGAGAAAAGCATGTGCTACATTCTCTCCCCAATTGGGAAAGGAGGTGAAAACTAGTGAAAACTATCCATATCCTTAAGTGATGACAAAATGAAGATGCAGGAGTGATTCAGAACTTTCAATTTTCATATTTGATTTTTGGCATCTAGGCATTTTGCTTTTTCCTTTTTCCCTCCATCACGTTATTTCTTTATAATACATATTTTTAGAAGCAACTTTAAATTTTCATCTTTAATTTTGGGCATCTAAGTATTTTGCTTTTCATTTTCCACCAGTTTATTTCTTTACAATGCATATTTTTAAGTTATTCAGATTCTATGTAAATTATAGGGTATGAACTGAGATACCCTCTTTTCTGTCTCCAGCATCCCACTCCCCTCTTCAGTGATAACCAATGTTAATGTTTTGATATGAATTCCTATATGTAGATATATTTATATCCAACATATAGGTTTGTTTTGGGCTTTTGTATTTTTACAGAGTTTGTTTTTGTTAGTGTTGTTTTTAAGATTTAATACTATTTAGCACCTTCCCTTTGTACCAGCAATGTTCTGGAAGAGCTTTTCCATTTGCACATTCAGATCTATTCTATCATGTTTCAGTTTGCTGTTCTCCTATTGTTTCTTGCTGTGGTACATAGTTTTGTCAAGAGTCAAGATACTTGGGTTCAAATCATATGTCTACCATTTATGAATCATGGGGTTTGGGAAAATTATTTTATCTGTGCCTCTTTAACTTTGAAAAATTGAATTAATAAACTTACCTCATGGTGATGGTTGTAAAGTGAAATGAAAGTCACTCAGTCATGTCCAACTCTTTGCCACCCCATGGACTATAGAGTCCATGGAATTCTCCAGCCCAGAATACTGGAGTGGGTAGCCTTTCCCTTCTCCAGGGAATCTTCCCAACCCAGGGACTGAACCCAGGTCTCCAGCATTGTAGGTGGATTCTTTACCAGCTGTGCCACAAGGGAAGTCCAAGAATACTGGAATGGGTAGCTTATCCCTTCTCCAGAGGAGCTAAAACTACCTATGTTAAATACTACTATTAGTGAACAGGTATTATTTATCTAATCATCTAATCTATTTCCCATCCTCCTGAAGAGTGACCTTCCCTCTTATTTTAAGATCAGATCTGGCTTTGGCCTGAGACACCAGAATCCACACTCTGCTAGTTGGTCCAAGTCCTTGAATGAGACCAGTCATTCTCCTGAGACCTAATGTTGCTTGTCCTTGAAACTTAAAAGAATTGCAGTTGATACAATTATTTGTCTAGTGCCAGTTCATTTCTTACCCACTACTAGCAGAGACAAAAAACACAAGATTTAAGAAACTCATCATTTTTTACTATTCATTGACTGTCATAAATGTCTTCAAAGAAAAGGGAACTTGCAATTAGGGGTCACGGTGAAGATTTCCATGGATAGAATGTTTTTCTTAGATATTTTATGTAAAAATAGCTAATTTATGTGGTGGTTGAGTTTACACAGAACTTTTATATTATTTGATCCAGATATGGAACAAAAAAGTACACAAATTGCTACTTTACAAAGGTCACACAACCAGACAAGTGGCTGAATCCCACATCTCATTTCCAGTCTGCTCTTTCCTGTGGCCAAACTGTGCAAATCATGGAGAATCTGTTGCTAGATTTCAAGGGACACTTGACTATGGACCGACTTGTTCCAGATCTTCAGTTGGTCTTGCTTTTCTCTTAAATGTTACCACCTTCCTGCAAGTTTTCTCCCTTAACACCTCAGACTCTTCATATGGATAGATAGATTTTGTTTATGGCGAGAAAAAATGCCACCATGTGCTCTCTCAAAAGAATTTTCTGACAGGTACTTCAAGAGAAATTGTGAAACATTCTGACAATTTGTGTAGAACTGTTGGCATTTCTGCTTCCACAAACTGGAGAAATTCATTTGGATGCCTCACAAATTACTCATCTTGAAGCAAAAGTGCTAGA